ACAATTGCAGAGGTCAAATTTTTTTTTTTCAAATTAAAGTATATTATATAAGCTTCAATTTAAGATATATATAAAAGTGTCTGACTTTCCGGAACATTTTCAAAAGTTAAGTTGAAAAAGTTAATTTTTTGTAAAAAAGTTGTCATTTTAAATCCCCCCCTGTGGGCAGGTAAAGGATTAAATTTATAAAAAAAATATATCAAATGATAAGTAAAGACATCAAACATCTATATAAAAAAAAATTATATTGATATGTTCATTTTTGAAAAAGGTATGGCACTTTTAAGTAAAAAAAATTGAAAAAATATTGAAAATTAGCGATTTTTAAATTTGTAATTTTTTGGGGGATTTCCCCCGTTTGCAGGGAACGAGGGAATTTTTTTCAATTTTTGAGGGTAATGTCTTCGACTAGATACGATTTTTGATCTTTTGACATATTGCTCATCAAAATCGGTCCAGAAAGAGGAGAGATTGAGCATTAATAGACACAAAAACAAAATTAACAAAAAATAAAAAAAAAAACACATCATAGTAAAATTAATACCTTCTCAGCTTCGCATCGAAGCTAAAAAAGAATTTTTGTAAAAAACATGTGCTTTTTCTTTTAGCTTCAATGCGAAGCTGAGAAGGTATTAATTTTATTACGATGTGTTTTTTTTATTTATTTTTTTTTAATTATGTTTTTGTGTCTGTTAATGCTCAATCTCTCCTCTTGCTGGACCGATTTTGATGAACAATACGTTCAAAAGATCATAAATCATATCTAGTCAAAGGCATTACCCTCATAAATTAAAAAAATTTTCATATTTTTTATTATATTTATTATTTTTTTTAGATACCTTAGATATTTACCTATCTTTTGTTTTATTTTTGTGAACATTTGATCCCTTATCAGCCCACAGAAAGAGTTTCAAAATGGTAACTTTTTCACAAAAAATCAATTTTTTCAACTTAACTTTTGAAAATGTTCCGGAAAGACTGACAATTTTATATATACCTTAAATTAAAGCTAATATAATATACTATAATTTGAAAAAACAAATTTGATCTCTGGATTTGTTTTCATGGTAAAAATGACTACCATATTAAAAATATGCCATTTTGTGTTAAATTTCTGGATTTTGTATTTTATTTTATTTTAAAATACCTGACAAGGGGAGTACACTGATTTTCATAAATATAATATAAATCAAATTAATATAGCATAGAAGGTTAAACTTATTTAAATTTTGTTGTAGTAGAAAAGTAGAGAAAAAATAACATTAAAATTCGAACTAGTTTAAATCGCCATTTTTTTGAGTCGGCGGAAGCGACGTACGATTGCCGAGTCGGTAACCTTGTGTTTAACGCGCTTGGGGTACAACTCGTGTATGGCAAGGAATTTTTTTCTTAATTCTTTTTTAGTTAGAATAAATTTTCAACTCCATTGATTTTTATCTTATTTAGATTCAATAATTTCAATAAAGATCAAGGAACCCATCATTGTAGTCGCCCCTTTGTAAGAAGAAATTTCTTGTTCAAATTAAAGTTATTTTACTATATTTTAGGTTTTAGCTTCGATGAAAAGCTGAGAAGGTATTTTTTTGTGACTATCATTTATTTTCTATTGACTTGACCTACTTTTTTCAATGATACGTCAAATGATTACATTTAATTGAAGATATTACGCTCAAAAATTGAAAAAAAATTCTAATTTATCAATTAAATAGTTATTTATCTCATGTTTTCCATACAGACAATTAAAATCATTCAGTTCTCATATTTTCAAAATATTCATTGACGAATCAAGTTTGATATGATAGGTTTCAACTACAAAATTAAATCATTTTACTTTGTAATTTAATAATTTTTTTACTCTATTTGTGTGTGCTACTACTAGACTATAATATTACAACATTTTTTGTAACATGTTGCTATATATATCATTTCTAAAAAAAATTATTGTTAGTTTCTCCTGAATTAACAATGGATTTTTAGATTTTTTGAACAACTTTTTGTTGATTAGTTATTTTAGTTAAATTAAATCATTAAAATTAATTCAGATCTGTATATTTTAATTGTAGAATCTATTTAAAACACCAAAAGTTAATTCTATGATTACTATGATTTATATTTAAGTGATCTATTACGATAAAAATTAAAAAAAAAAAATAGAACTTTTCTGATAAATTGACTGTAAATAGTAATTATAAAATTTGCTGACTGCATATTAATCTTAATCATTAATCTGTAATTAATCTTAACAATTTCATTTTTTTCTATTTAATAATGTCAATTTCAAACTTGCAAGTTGAACTATAAGTTGTGGTAACAAATTCATTATTTTTTTTTATTAAAACTTTTACTTTAAAGGACAAAATAAAGTAGGTTCAAAATTATTACTTTTAACATATTAATAATCAAAATCATTAATAATTTGAAAACAATTAATTTTAAAAATTATATAATGTATAATTAAAAATATTTAGCTTTTGTAATTATCCACCAATTTCTTAGAATTAAACACTATCTACAGATATGCATCGAAGCGTTTCTAATAATAGTGATTTTAATCACTGTCAGATTAAATCTATACTGGACCCAACTATGCCAAGTCCCTAATGTGCTGTGACCCCACTGTGCTGGATTTTTTTTTTACTTTGACCATATTCCAAAGAACTTGTGTGTCTTAAAATTATTATATATATATTATATTATATTTATTAAGAAGTTTTAGTTTAAAATTATATTTATAAAAAAAAAATGTCCACAATTTTATTTATATTTGCTTTTATTTCGTTCAGGTTATAATTTTAACATATTTTTACATGTGTTTAAATTCAATGTCTAATTATCATTTATTATAATTAAATAACGTTTTTTATATGAAATGAAAACTGAATATATCAGATACTTATATTTAATACGTAATCCATGGGAGGCGCACAATTANATTTAATACGTAATCCAGAGGAGGCGCACAATTATTCACAAGTATATATATAAGTATATATACAGTTATCACAACTTAATGCGTAGTCCAAGAACGGCGTACAATTATCTATCAAGATATATATATATATCTATNAAGTTGTGGTATCAAATGCATTATTTTTTTTTATTAAAACTTTTACTTTGAAGGACAAAATAAAGTAGGTTCAAAATTATTACTTTTAACATATTAAAAATTAAAATCAATAATAATTTGAAAACAATTAATTTTAAAAATTATATACTATACTAGGCTCCGCCTAGCAGAGGCTCCGCCCCAGACCCGGAGCTCTTCTAGCCTTACGCGAAAAGTGTCTCAAGAATTTCGGGCGGCGCGCCCTGGCGTCTCGAGCCCATGAAAAAAAAAAGCTCGTAAAACGGTGAAAATTGAACGGATTGAATTGATTTTTTTATCATATCTCAGAAATGTCATTGCGTGGGTCTGGTGAAAATTTCAAACCTTGAATCGTAAAACGCTGGCGTCAGTGAGCGTTTTTCTCGAAAACGGTGGAAATTTTAAAACGCTCGTGGCAAAAATTTTCCAACCTTCGCCAATAATTTTCCCAGAGTCTGGTGACCGAGTACTTTCGTTGAAAAAAAATTTTTTGAAAATCCGAGCACGCTAAGTAATTTTCCCAGAGGAGCGTTTTTTTCCTTGATCTATTATAGAATAAGATAATTAAAATAATTACTAATCTGGGTATAATTAAGGAAATTGAAGTTGGTGTTGCTTTTGTAATTATCCATCAATTTCTCTAAATGAAACACTATCTACAGATTTGCATCGAAGCGTTTCTTATGATAGTGATTTTAATCACTGTCAGATATTATCTATACTTCTCCCATCTATGCCTCGTCCACACTGTGCCTCGACCCCACTGTGCTACCGTTTTTTTCTATTAATACCATAGGTATTCACCTATAACTTGGTTTGTTTTTTGAAAATCTAACCCTCTATTTGGCCAGGGTGATTCAAAATGGCAACTTCTGCACATAGAATCAACTTTTTCAGCTTAACTTTTGAAAATGTTCTGAAAATACTGATACTGCTATAAATAAAGGTATATTTAATATAGTTTAATTTGAAAAAAAAGTAATTTATAAAAAACAACATTTTTAATGGATTAGAATAAATGGGTTCAAGCAATTCTTACATATACTTAGACTTTTGTACATTTTTTTGTAAATAATTTTTTAAACTTGTTTTTCTTTATTTATTGAACATGTAGTATATCTATATAACAGATGGACGGAGCACAGGCAAAACATGTTGTATAGAAGGGACTATTTCATAGAAGAGTGTGGGGATTTCATATCCCCCAAAGTTTATTAAAATCATAAGACGGAATTTTTAGAATAAATTGTAGAATTTTGTACCCATGAAAGTACTTTGTCGGCAAAATTCACTTCACACCCCCCTAAAATTTACTACTAGGATCGCTATTGTATACAGGTTGTAGCATCATCTTCATCTTTTTTTATCCAATGATTTTTTAACTGCTATTTAGAAAAGAATAAAAATACTAGTTGTACTATGATATAACCAGTATTTTTTCACAGCAATAAAAAGAAGCAAGTCTGTTTGGAATTTACACCAACAATATTCATTTTGTTTGAAACATTATGGCTTATTCAATGACATCATTTTAACCAACATAGCGTGATCTGTACACACGACACCCCAAAATCAATCAAATAAATTTTTCTATGAAAAATGTAGTATAAATTAAAAAGTTATTTTTTCTTTGTAATTTCAGAATTAGTCTTTCAGACTTAGTTCGATTTACTAACGCGCTATCAATATATCAACATATTCAATTTGCATTTTTATTACAGTTTAATGTTCATACCACGAAGTACTTTAAAAATATGAAGCTTATTAAAAGCTTGTTTAGTGTTGTTACTTTGAAACTATTTTACTTTGAAACAAATATTTCAAGGCGGGCGGTGTGTTTAGGCCTACACAATAAGTGTAGCTATTTTTGTCTTTTCTTACCGTTGTTCGGCGGCTGCATAGTTGTCCGGTTTTAAAGTTAGTCTACCTTTGTAAAGCGCACCGCTCGCGTACATATAATATATACATATCTATTTTTTCGTCTTTTACGTTTTTATTTAATTTTATTGAAAATCTTTTAGTAATAAGAGATCAAGCCGAAACATATGGTCCTTCGCCCGGAACGTCTAGTGAATATCGGAAACGTGAAAGTGCGAAAATTTGCGTAACGAAAGTGCGTTATTAGGGTACGTGAGTTAAGCGTTGTATGTGCGTGTTCGTAAATAATTCTAACGCATCGAGTTCGAAAAGGGTTAATTTCTGCCCAACGTAGTGCGTAGCAGCAACGATTGCTATACGCGGAATAAAATAATATTATTATATATTATTAACGTATTTTAATTTAAAGTTCGTGTAAGTGCATTAGATATCGTCATAAGTATTGTGAAACAAATATAGTTAAGTGTAAAAAACCCGTGCGCAATATTTATAGTGTCGGCGTACAGCAGTTATTGTGGTACTATCGTTATAGTTGTACTTTGCTCAAATTACCACGAACGCTCTCTGACAGTTAATAGAGCGTACATATATATATATATATATATATTAGTAACGGTCAGCTGAGGCGGTTGGTTTCTTTTGGAACAATTATTTATTATCGGTAAAAACCAACAAAACAAATTATGCCTGAAGATAATCGCAAAAATGAAGTTACGCGATTAAGCATAAAGAGAGGTCAATTAAAATCAGCATTGACAAAATTTTTAAAGTTTGTACAAGACGAAAAGTCGGACCTAATTGAAATTCGGCTTAGAAGAGAAAAAATTGAGGAAGCATGGAGCGAGTACGACCAAGTACAGTTGGAAATCGACATGCTAGAAGGGATAAACGTAGAGGAACAGCAAAATTATAGAGCTGATTTTGAAGACTCATACTTTAAAGCCAGTACGATTGCGGAGAAGAGGCTATCTGAATTGAGTAGGGTAGTCAGCAACGCGTCAGACGCTATTGTAGGGAATACGGCAGCAACATCTTCAATCGTAGCGACACCAACAGTAGCGGGTGCCAGCTATTAGATTAGCCCCGCTAGATATCCCATCATTTCATGGCGACTATAAGCAATGGACAACATTTTATGATATTTTTTCGGCATTAATTCATACCAACGACCAATTGTCAGACATACAAAAATTTTTTTATTTGAAAGCGGCTTTAAAAGACGATGCCAAACAGGCTGTTAATCGTTTGGAAATCACGGCGTCAAATTACGCAGTGGCATGGCGGACATTAATTGAAAGATATAACAATAAAAAAAGTCTAATACAAGCCCATGTAAAAGCGTTATTTCACTTAGAGACGTTAACTGTAGAATCAGCAATTAAACTTCGAGCGTTTACAGATTCAATAAAAGGACACATGCAAGCATTAAGAACCCTTGATCAAGAGCCAGAGTCGTGGAGTCCTATGTTAACGTATTTAGTAACCACCAAGTTAGATAGAAGTTGTCTTCGAGCGTGGGAAACGGAATCGGCTCAGGACTCTCTTCCTACAATTATCGAATTGGTGGAATTTTTAGAAAAACGGTTTAAAATTTTAGAAGCGATCGAATCATCTAAAGCCATAAATCAGAGAAACGCAACAGCACCGGCTACCCATAGTCAAGATGTCAGAAAATCTATGGTACGGAGCAATGCTTATGCGGTGACAAATTCGGACAAAAAATGCTTTAATTGTCACTCAAATCACTCGGTGTATCGATGTACTAGTCTTTTGGCCTTGTCCGTAGTTGAACGCATTAAGCGCATTAGTGAGCGCAATTTATGCAGGAATTGTCTACAGGCACACCCTAAGAAAATATGTTTGGCTCGAGGCTGTTTTAAGTGTGGCAAGCCACATAATACACTTTTACACTTGAGTGCACGGACCGATCAGTCAGAGTTCAACTCAGCAACAAACGTAACGGAAAATTCGGAAAATAGCGAGTCAGAACAAGTAGTTCAAAATGAATTAGCAACCGTTAGTGCACATACTAGCTTACCGGCTGCTACGTCGATATTATTACCAACCGCAGTTGTTTTGGTCAAGAGTAATCGTGGTGAATGGGAGCAATATCGCGTGTTACTGGATTCTGCATCACAAAGTAACTTTATAACCGAACGTATGGCACAGATTTTGCGGTTACCGAAAACCCATGTCGACCAAAGCGTCCAAGGAATTGGTGGAAACGTACAAAGAATTAAATCGCGCGTAATGGTTACAGCCAACTCCCGTTTAAATGACTATTCAGTAACATTGTCATGTTTAGTAGTTAAGAACATTACGAGTAACCTACCAGGCATCCGACTAAATGATAGCTGCGTGGTTCCGAAAGCTATAGTCTTAGCGGATCCGCGTTTCACCGTGCCACAGAAGATTGACCTATTAATAGGAGCTGGTCATTTCTATGATTTAATGTCTGCAGGTAAAATAAAGCCACGACCAGGCGGNCCAGAAAATTGACCTATTAATAGGGGCGGGTCACTTCTATGATTTAATGTCTGCAGGTAAAATAAAGCCACGACCAGGCGGTCCTGTATTTCAGGAAACAAAGTTCGGATGGGTGGTTGCCGGTTCATCGAAAAATCAACTCAATAGTATAAATCAACAAACGGCGGTTTTCCTCGCGGTGAATGACAATTATAACCAATCACTAGAAAAGGTAGCTGAATGTGAATTCAGTAAGTATCCTGACGCGTGTCAATCATTAGTTAACGATTTTTATGTGGATGATTGGTTAGGCGGTGCAATGAAACGGGCAGAGGCAATAACATTACGAGACAATATTATTACCGTAACGAAAGGTGCCGGTCTACATTTACGGAAATGGGCATCAAACGATAATAGGTAGTTTATTACCTGCCGAACACAATAAAGATAGTGACGGTCCGCGTATTATCGATAACGACACGACGAAAATATTAGGCCTGTGTTGGGATCCGCCATCGGATTCATTTAAGTATACATTAAGTGAAACATAATAAACAATAACGATATAACAAAGCGAACAATTTTATCGAATATAGCTACAATTTTTGATCCCCTTGGTTTGCTCGGACCTGTGTTAGTTGTCGCAAAAATTATCATGCAACGTTTGTGGTGCATTCAACTCAGTTGGGACGAACTCGTTTCGGAGGAAGTCGCTGTAGAATGGCGTAATTATAGTGCACAATTAACAACATTAAATAAGTTCAGTATTCCAAGATATATACTATGTGAAAATAAAATCGTTAAATTACAGTTACACGGTTTTGCCGATTCATCTATCAGAGCGTATGGTGCATGTGTTTACATTAGAAGTACTGACGAAAACGGCCAGCACACGGTGCGTTTGCTACAAGCGAAGTCCAAGGTCGCGCCCATAAAAACGATATCGCTGCCTCGACTAGAATTGTGCGCAGCCCTATTATTAGCACGAATGGTAAACGGAATAGTGCCGAAGTTGAAATGCAAATTCGAGCGACAATTTTATTGGACCGATTCGAGCGTAACCCTAGCTTGGATTTCATCTCCATCTGCTAAATGGAAAACGTTCGTGGCGCATCGTGTTGGTGAAATACAAGACAAAACGTCCATAAATGATTGGCGTCATGTCCGCTCGGAGGACAATCCTGCTGATTTAATATCACGTGGCTGTACTCCAAACGAATTGCGAATTAATGCGATGTGGTGGAACGGTCCCCATTGGTTGAAGGAGGAGTACGAGAAATGGCCGAAGTCATGTGTACAATACAGTAGTACAAATAATATACCAGAAGCCAAAAATACGAACGAAACAACAATTACGACTGTTGCATGCGTAGCGTACGATAAATGTTATTCGTTGTTATCTAGAAGGTCGTCGTTATTATTTATCATCAGAGTGACGGCGTATTGCCTACGCTGGCGGTATAACATGAATCGAGCAGTAGGTGATAAAAATAATGGGCCGTTAACGGTAAACGAACTAGATATAGCAAATACGACAATCATCAAAATAATTCAACGCGCACATTTTCGGCAAGAATTGAGAGAGTTAAATAGTGCAAATGCGAATGTGTCAAAAAAAAGTAAACTACTGCGTCTTAGTCCATATATTGATGGGGATAATATTATACGCGTCGGAGGTCGTTTAAAATACGCTATGGCGTTAAATGACAATCAGAGACATCAAATTGTATTGCCGGATAACTGTCTTTACACAAAATTATTATTCCGTAAAGAACACATGGATTTGATGCACAGTGGACCTCAAGCCTTGGTGGCCTCTATTAGGCAGCGCTACTGGCCTTTAAAGGCGCGAAGTTTGGCTCGTACTATAATACACAATTGCGTTAATTGTTTCAAACTGAAACCTCAAATAGTACAACCGATCATGGGGAGTCTGCCTGGTTCACGGGTACAGAGTGTAAGAGCATTTGCCATATGTGGTGTAGATTTTGCGGGTCCAGTCATGATAAGAACGAGCTTGCGTCGTAAGGCACCATGTAACAAAGGATACATCAGCATATTTGTATGTTTCGCGACAAAGGCGATACATATCGAACTCGTGAGCGATTTGTCAACGAAGACATTTTTACAGGCGTTGAACAGATTTTTTGATCGACGTGGCAAAAGTTCAATAATTTACAGTGATAACGCCCGAAATTTTGTGGGCATGCGTCGGCATTTAAAGGAGGTGTACGCACTTTTCCAGTCCCCAGAACATCAGCGATCCGTTTTCTCTCATCTAGCGGACAAAGGAATTGAGTGGCGATTTATACCACCCCGTGCGCCACATTTCGGTGGACTTTGGGAGGCTGCGGTCAAAAGTATGAAAAGTTTGCTATATCGCGTTTTAGGAGAAGCTCGGCTCACGTACGAAGAATTATTAACTGTACTAACGAGAGTGGAAGCGGTACTTAACTCGCGACCAATAACTCCAGTATCCTCTGATCCGGCTGATCTAACCTATCTCACACCAGGTCATTTTTTAATTGGCGATATAATGACTGCCATACCGGAAAAGGACGAGACGACCACGCCTATTACTCACTTAAATAGGTGGAGAATAGTCTCTCATTACACCCAAGTACTTTGGAAACGGTGGCACCAAGAGTACTTATCTCAACTACAGGAAAGAACCAAATGGTCCAGCACGAAAGGGCCTAAGTTACAAATTGGAACTATTGTGTTGGTAAAAGAGACAAATTTACCACCACTCAAATGGCAAGCTGGGCGTGTAATAGAATTATACTGTGACGATGACAACGTGGCACGATCAGCAAAGGTTCGTACTAACGTCGGCGAGTTTTCACGAGCGGTCAGGTTATTATGTCCGTTACCTTTTGAAGGCAACAGTTTGTAGCCAGTTTGTAATTTATTTAAATTTCTTATAATTCGTAGTTAATATATATGTGACATGTCCCGTGTGGGATTAATCATTAATTTTTCCATAATGAATTTGTTTCTAATGATTATTTGTATATTAATTTTTTTTTGTATTTATGTATTACCTTTTACGTTTTTAGTTGTTGCGAAATTTGTTCCTAGATTATAGTTGTTTTTGTTATCTTTTACTTTGAAACAAATATTTCAAGGCGGGCGGTGTGTTTAGGCCTACACAATAAGTGTAGCTATTTTTGTCTTATCTTACCGTTGTTCGGCGGCTGCATAGTTGTCCGGTTTTAAAGTTAGTCTACCTTTGTAAAGCGCACCGCTCGCGTACATATACTATACACATATCTATTTTTCGTCTTTTACGTTTTTATTTAATTTTATCGAAGATCTTTTAGTAATAAGAGATCAAGCCGAAACAGTTACAAAAACTAAAATTTGCGGCCATTTATCTTGTCATACAAAAATCAAATACTGTTCTCGTATATGCACTAAAACTTTTAATGGTAGCCACTTTAAGCAACAAAAAATTTTTCTGAAAAGAAAATAACAATTACTCATCAATTCCAATAAATTAAATCATATATATATATATATATTCATAAAAATAATAATATTACTATATTATTTTTATGAATATACAATGTTACAATTATAGTTTTATCATTATTTAAGTAGTTAGTATTTTACCAGTATTAATATAGACTCTAGTAATTGTATTCCANTAGTTGGTATCTTACCAGTATTAATATAAGCTCTAGTAATTGTATCCCAGATAACATAAATAAGAGGAAAATAAGAATACTTCAATAGAACGACCTTTCAAGTTAAATAAAACATGCTCCCAAAGAATAATTTTATTTAAAATAATATTATAAATATAATATAATATTATAATATAAATAATATTTTAATAAAATAATATTTAAAATAAAAATGAACTTCAAGAAAAAACTTTTAATTTAGAAAAAGATAGAGAACAAGCTATAATAAATTCTAATCAAAATTATGAAAAAAAGAGTAGACAAAACAAGAAAAGAACATACACTTAAAGAAAATGAGTTAGTATACATAGAAAATGGCAACAAAATGAATAGGAACAAGTTGGATGAAGTTAGAAGAGGTCCTTTCCGAATAATAAAACAAATATCAAATTCAATATATGAGATAGAAGAAAAAGGAAAAAAAATTGTTTCCATAATAATAAATCAATTCCAGCACAAGATTTGAGTACATAAACTGGAATTTATGTCTGGAGGAAGGAAGGTATAACAGTGGCGGCACTGTTTATAGGGACACTATGATCACTGTTGTAATTTGTATTATCATATAGATTTAAGGTGTAAAATCTATGGTAACATTTTTAATAATTAATAATTATTTTTATTTTATAAAATTTAAAGAGTATATAGTAATAAGTTTTTAATTATCGATTCTTTATTGTTTATTGTTTATGTGTGTATTTGTTATACAATTTAATATTAATAAACCACTTTATTGTAGAATCGATCAATNATTTATTGTAGTCTGAAAGATCATCTTGTTCTCTTCATGCATAGTAATAATCATTAAAAATAAAAAGTTCAGACATTTTTGTTCTTCTAGAATTCTGGCCTTTTCAATTTTGATGTATTGCTATTTGGTTTTGTAAATTATAATCATAATGCTTTTGAATGTGGAAATCTACAATTTTTTTTATTTTTGGACTTCACATTATTATTGATTTAATTGTAACTTTCTTTTGAAGCCATGGATGTCAAAAGCAAATAAATTTTGGCAATACAAATAGATTTCTTTAATTTGTTTTTTTTTTAATATTGATATTATATAAGCACTTGATTCTTTAGTTTTTACTGATAATTTGAATTCCAAAATCTTCAACTGGCGATCGTTGAACTTATTATTTAACCACCATTACTAGTATGAATTGCTTTTTCTTCATCTTTTGAAATTTTCAATGATTTGAAATAGTTTAAATTTGCTTTTTATTGGTATACATTTCATTTTGTGTGATTGATTGATTGAAGTCTTAAATAATACATTATAACATTAATGATGTACTTTGTATATTATTACAATAATCATTGATTTCTAAATCAGAAAGAAATATTAAACGAAATCTTTTATATATTTTTCAAACTGAATCGTTTAGATTGTTATGTACAATTGATTGTTACAACAATAGAACTCTTAGAGTTAGAAGTTATAGCTTCATTTAAAGTACTTCTAACGTTACATGGAATAAAAACGAAATTCAATAAAAATTATTAGATAAAATTCAATTTTTTGTTTGGTTGATACGTTCCTCTAAACCTATACCGACTTTAAGGGTGTCAACTTAATTTTATCAAACAAAGATAATTAACTAATCAAAAATTCACATATTTTTCATATTAGTATAAGTAACTACGCCAGACAGTTTTTTTTTAAATATGACACGGCACCGCCTTTTGCTCTAGGCTGGCGCTCGCCCGTGTCTCTCTCGATATCAGCCGTCCAGCTATTAATATGACAATCGGTTGTCATCGGTTGTCTCCCCGCCTTTGACACTGAGATAAGGCCGCCGCCGATATGGATTACCGATATTGCGTTCTGTTCCGTTTTCGACATACACCTGAAGTGGTGTATTTTTCTGTTCGTTTTGCTTTTTGACGTACATAGTGCTAACGAACGCGACTACGGCTTATACATAGATATATATATATATCTCGATTGATAATTGTACGCCGTTCTTGGACTACGCATTAAGTTGTGATAACTGTATATATACTTATATATATACTTGTGAATAATTG